TTACATGTAGTAACATACGTAGTGCACAGAACAGACGAGTTACATGTAGTAACATACGTAGTGCACAGAACAGACGAGTTACATGTAGTAACATACGTAGTGCACAGAACAGACGAGTTACATGTAGTAACATACGTAGTGCACAGAACAGACGAGTTACATGTAGTAACATACGTAGTGCACAGAACAGACGAGTTACATGTAGTAACATACGTAGTGCACAGAACAGACGAGTTACATGTAGTAACATACGTAGTGCACAGAACAGACGAGTTACATGTAGTAACATACGTAGTGCACAGAACAGACGAGTTACATGTAGTAACATACGTAGTGCACAGAACAGACGAGTTACATGTAGTAACATACGTAGTGCACAGAACAGACGAGTTACATGTAGTAACATACGTAGTGCACAGAACAGACGAGTTACATGTAGTAACATACGTAGTGCACAGAACAGACGAGTTACATGTAGTAACATACGTAGTGCACAGAACAGACGAGTTACATGTAGTAACATACGTAGTGCACAGAACAGACGAGTTACATGTAGTAACATACGTAGTGCACAGAACAGACGAGTTACATGTAGTAACATACGTAGTGCACAGAACAGACGAGTTACATGTAGTAACATACGTAGTGCACAGAACAGACGAGTTACATGTAGTAACATACGTAGTGCACAGAACAGACGAGTTACATGTAGTAACATACGTAGTGCACAGAACAGACGAGTTACATGTAGTAACATACGTAGTGCACAGAACAGACGAGTTACATGTAGTAACATACGTAGTGCACAGAACAGACGAGTTACATGTAGTAACATACGTAGTGCACAGAACAGACGAGTTACATGTAGTAACATACGTAGTGCACAGAACAGACGAGTTACATGTAGTAACATACGTAGTGCACAGAACAGACGAGTTACATGTAGTAACATACGTAGTGCACAGAACAGACGAGTTACATGTAGTAACATACGTAGTGCACAGAACAGACGAGTTACATGTAGTAACATACGTAGTGCACAGAACAGACGAGTTACATGTAGTAACATACGTAGTGCACAGAACAGACGAGTTACATGTAGTAACATACGTAGTGCACAGAACAGACGAGTTACATGTAGTAACATACGTAGTGCACAGAACAGACGAGTTACATGTAGTAACATACGTAGTGCACAGAACAGACGAGTTACATGTAGTAACATACGTAGTGCACAGAACAGACGAGTTACATGTAGTAACATACGTAGTGCACAGAACAGACGAGTTACATGTAGTAACATACGTAGTGCACAGAACAGACGAGTTACATGTAGTAACATACGTAGTGCACAGAACAGACGAGTTACATGTAGTAACATACGTAGTGCACAGAACAGACGAGTTACATGTAGTAACATACGTAGTGCACAGAACAGACGAGTTACATGTAGTAACATACGTAGTGCACAGAACAGACGAGTTACATGTAGTAACATACGTAGTGCACAGAACAGACGAGTTACATGTAGTAACATACGTAGTGCACAGAACAGACGAGTTACATGTAGTAACATACGTAGTGCACAGAACAGACGAGTTACATGTAGTAACATACGTAGTGCACAGAACAGACGAGTTACATGTAGTAACATACGTAGTGCACAGAACAGACGAGTTACATGTAGTAACATACGTAGTGCACAGAACAGACGAGTTACATGTAGTAACATACGTAGTGCACAGAACAGACGAGTTACATGTAGTAACATACGTAGTGCACAGAACAGACGAGTTACATGTAGTAACATACGTAGTGCACAGAACAGACGAGTTACATGTAGTAACATACGTAGTGCACAGAACAGACGAGTTACATGTAGTAACATACGTAGTGCACAGAACAGACGAGTTACATGTAGTAACATACGTAGTGCACAGAACAGACGAGTTACATGTAGTAACATACGTAGTGCACAGAACAGACGAGTTACATGTAGTAACATACGTAGTGCACAGAACAGACGAGTTACATGTAGTAACATACGTAGTGCACAGAACAGACGAGTTACATGTAGTAACATACGTAGTGCACAGAACAGACGAGTTACATGTAGTAACATACGTAGTGCACAGAACAGACGAGTTACATGTAGTAACATACGTAGTGCACAGAACAGACGAGTTACATGTAGTAACATACGTAGTGCACAGAACAGACGAGTTACATGTAGTAACATACGTAGTGCACAGAACAGACGAGTTACATGTAGTAACATACGTAGTGCACAGAACAGACGAGTTACATGTAGTAACATACGTAGTGCACAGAACAGACGAGTTACATGTAGTAACATATGTATTGCACAGAACAGAAGAGTTACATGTAGTAACATACGTAGTGGACAGAACAGACGTGTTACATGTAGTAACATACGTAGTGCACAGAACAGACGATACCTACTCCACTAACAATGTTGCTACATCACTTCTTTGAGAAAAGTTAGGCTACAGGAATTTTTGCAAAGTGTAATATTGATAAAAAAAGTTGTACAAAGACGTTGATAAGTATCAGTTTTATTAGTAACTACAAACAATTATAAATTGATATTATAATGATTTAAACATAATCAACATCATAGTCTCCGATATAAAAAAAAGAGTAGATACATGTATACCAAAATGGACACCATTAAAGATGAAAAATTAAATTGTCTGACATAAAGAAACTATATTTCATGATGTTATTACATTAATTGCAGACAGCATATTTCTAAACTGATGGAAAAATAATCAAACGTGCACATACCGTATATAGTTTTCATACTTACAATGTATCAGTTACATATTGGTCAGTACAACTATGGACGGGTTACTATATAAATACTCGATCACATGTACACTATGGACGGGTTACTGTATAAATACTGTATCACATGTACACTCACATCCTAGTTCAGGATTTCACATCAGTAGGGTAATAATAAAAGCTTAAACTCTAAAATCATGATGTCTTGCAATATAAGACTGACTTGGTTTTCTTAATACTCAATTTAGTCATTTACATGATACATGTACGTATCAATAAATCTACTTTTATATCTGAAACTGATTGTTTTGTTACTCAAATTCAAACATTAATTGGACAAAAAAGGTTCAATTATTGATTTAAAATGTTAAATCTTTCAGTATTCTCTCTAGTATTTCAGGTCCCAGAAAAAACAAACATTTCAATACTTATATTTTGAGTGCACAAATTAGCTGAAGGCCTGAAGTAATGGACCTAATTACAGACTGGACCGTCCTTTATGGACATGTCAGTCTTTAAAAAAACCTCTCATAACTTACTGAGTACAAAACAAGCTCAAGTCATTGCTAGATACAAGATTTAAAAAAAAATGAAATCAGATTACTGTATTGCTGTACTCCGCTGTAATCACCTGTAGAAAAAACTTTGCTGTACTCCATTGTAATCACATGTAGAAAAAAACATTGTTTACCAAGTTGGAATAGAATGGAAAAAATATTTAAAATTATGAATAAATTATCACAGAAATCTTTATCACATTTTATTTTATCTTATACACAAAAAATCTTTCTTGATTAAATCTAAAGATCAACAAACATTTCAAACTAAATGTAAAATAAAACAAGAGGCCCAACGGGCCTGCATCACTCACCAGGTATAAATCTCACACTTGTAACCTTAAAAGTGATCTAAAATAAAGCTACAGGCAAAATATCAGTATTTATGATTAAAATTCATTCAAAAGAGCCTGTTATTTTTTTTTTAAACATTTCACCCCTGTGATTGAAAGTCGAACAAAGTCATTGTGTTGAACAAATTTTATAGCCTTTCATCTCAGGATGCAACTTGCAAAGTATCAACATCCTGGGACCCATGATTATTCAGAAGAGGTTGTTTAAAGATTTGAAACAAATTTGACCCCTGTGTCCTTGAATATAAGTCAAAGTCATTCACTTTAACAAACATAGTAGTCCTTGATCCCAGCATGCTACTGACTAAATATCAACATCCTGAGCCTTTTGGTTATTCAGAACAAGTTCTTTAAATATTTTGAACATATTTGCTCCTTGTGACCTTGAATATGATTCAAGGTCATACATTTAAACAAACTTGGTAGCCCTTGATCCAAGTATGCTACTGACTAAATATCATCACCCTGGGCATTTTGGTTATTCAGAAGTTGTTTAATGTTTTTAACATATTTGACCCCTGTGACCTTGAATATAGGTGAAGGTCATTCATTTGAACAAAATTGATAGCCCTTTACTCCAGCATGCTACTTGCCAAATATCATCACCTTGGGCATTTTGGTTATTAAAAGAAGTTGTTTAAAGTTTTTAACATATTTGACCCTTGTGACCTTGAATATAGGTGAAGGTCATTTATTTGAACAAACTTTGTAGCCCTTTATCTCAGCATGCTACTGGCCAAATATCATTACCCTGGGCATTTTGGTTATTCAGAAGTTGTTTTAAAGTTTTTAAACATATTTGACCCCTGTGACCTTGAATATGGGTGAAGGTCATTCATTTGAAGAAACTTTGTAGCCTTTCATCTCAGCATGCTACTGGCCAAATATCATCACCCTGGGCATTTTGGTTATTCAGAAGAAGTTGGTTAAAGTTTTTTTTAAGACAATTGACCCCTGTGACCTTGAATATAATTGAAGGTCATTCGTTTGAACAAAATTGGTAGCCCTTTATCCTAGCATGCTACTGGCCAAATATCGTCTCCCTGGGCAGTTTGGTTATCGGGAAGAAGATGTTTAAAGTTTTTAACATATTTGACCCCTGTGACCTTGAAATTGGGTGAAGGTCATTAATTTTAACAAACTTTGTAGCCCTTCATCTCAGTTTGCTTCTGGCCAAATATCATCACCGTAGGCCTTTCGGTTATTAAGAAGAAGTCGTTTAAATTAAAATATTGACGCCGGACGACGGACGGACGACGGACGGACGACAGACAGACAGCGGACGACAGATGGACGACGGACGCCGCGCCACGGCATAAGCTCACTTGGCACTTCGTGCCAGGTGAGCTAAAAAAGTATAACATTAATAAAGTTAAGAATGTGTCTCTATACAATAGTGTTTAAAGGGAATTGAAGTGAACATTTCAATGTTAAATTCACAAAACATTAATCTAAAGTAATGTTTATTATACAATTACTTACTATTAGCTGTGTTCATATTTCATTTCCATGCCTTACATTTTATGTGATGGATCGGTCAGTATGCTAATTATGAATTCATAATTACAAATTGTATTTTATTCGAAATCAGATACTATGGAAATTTTTATTTCTGCAACATTTAATTATATGTACAATAACTAATTCTGTTGCAAGTATTTCATTAAGGAAAATTGGAAATCCAACCATTTTTCTTTTGTACATATTTTTCAAATTTAATTATAATTTCATTGTGCTTATTTTTTTCTCTTTCAATTAAGCCTATTCAAATTATAAACTATATATGCATTTTTCACATTTTATCCATACATTCCAGTGTACGTATATGAACAACAGTAAAATATACAACATGTCCGTATAGCGAACTTAAATATTGATCAACAACAATAATTTATGTAAATGTAAAACATACTTTTCTACTTACTGTTACAAATTATTCGTCCAGCGAATAATATATCTACATATACAACTTAACTCATGCCACTACAAAACTACTTAAATTGTATTTCCCATAAATGAAAAATTCAAAGAATTGCACATTAACTTTTTAAACAGAATTTATAGGAAAATATTTGTTTGTCATATCATTTTTATGAAAGAGTATCAAATGCTTGTCATCCTGGAGATTCACATAACATTCCAAACTGAAGAATACAAAAAAACATGGGATTTAACTGGCTAGTTATCAAACTATACAATCTTGTGCATCTTTCAAATGTGTCACCAATTCTTGTGTACCTTTCAAATATGACATCAGTTCTTGGGTATTTTTTCAAAGTGTCATCAATTTTTGTGTACCTTTCATATATGTAATCAACTAATTGACCAAATCCGAATTAAATTAACAAAAAATAATTTTACAGGGCTCTTGAAAAGAATATCTATGTTAAAGAATAAGATCACATTTATCCTAAAGAACAACACAAATAATAAAGTCATGTTTCAAACACAGTGGAGTTGTTAAAGATGCTGAATGGCATCCGTTGTTATGAGTTGCTGCCTGTTCATCCGACAGAACAAATCCTGCACAAAACAGAAAGATGTTTTAGTGATTGTGACCAAGTGACCAAAGAAATTTGAAGAAATTAAAAACACACATCTGTTAAATATCAGGTACAAAACTGATGCAATGTATTTCTTACATCACTGAAAACTGACATAAAATTGAAACAAAAATTGGGGAGATATTACTATAAAATTCACAAAAATCAATACCGAATTGAATTTTTTTTATACAAAATTGGTAAAAAGTTGTCAAAAGGTTGACAAAAAAAGTTAATGCAAAATTGATAAAGTTGTCGCAAATAAAATTGAACTTGATGCAAACACCAACTCAAAGAAGACACAAAGATATACAAAGTTATCATGAGTGGATCACTTACCCACAGGTATGTCTGCAGTAGACAGAAGTGTAGTTCTGTATGCCATACTCAGTGTAGTCAGTACAGTGATTGGTCAAGTTTGACCAAATATCACAGGTTTTTGTTGAATGTAGATCATAGCAAGCTACAACAGGAACCAGTATTAATTTTAAAAACAGGCTGCAAGAGATTCTATTTAACAAAGTGAACATTAACATACAATGGTATCAGAGTACTTAGAATTCAAACTCATGAAGATTGTTGTATGTAGTTACAAGGATCCTCTTTCTTCCAAAAAAATACCAACTTGGATAACAAAATGTAAAGGTCACTGTAGATTACTTACAATAGTTAACATTAGTGAATGCATTATAGTGGACATCCTCCATGGGTGGAGAGAGTGAAAGTCAGCGTAAACCCTGGAATATGACATAACAAAGTCGAAGGCTCAGTGTGCACCACCTTCTGGATGAAACAAGAAGACAAGTTTGATCCTTTGATGTACATCAAATGAATCTGTCGGTTGTGTAAAGAACAAACATTTTGAAGTTGGGTTTCGCTCCTCTGTAATCTTCAAAGGACAGGTATCAGCCTAACAATTGGTCAGATTTTTTTAACCTGAGACCAATCAAATAGAAAGTGAACATAACACCTGGAGTATTGAAGATGTATAGTGGAATATACATAACAAATAACAGCCAGGTACACTAGAGCATCTGGTAACTGTCATATTAGAATTCTGAAACTTAAGAGCAACCATGCATGTGAAGACATTTTTATCCAAATGTTGATATATACAATGTCAGATATTGATGTTGTAGAAATATTATAAAGGTACTTATATAACCTTAATAGTGGTAAAATCAACTTAAATACCAAGACACATTGTACTATTGTTTAGTATTGAAATTAAAATACACAATCATAGTTTCGAGACTATTGAGTACTTGTGCATACTTTATTTGCAATCAATCAATTAAATATTAATTACTGGTCTTATGATAAGTTTCCTATAGTTTGATCAACTAAGTATTTTATGATAAGTTTAATTCCTACAGTTTTATCATCAAGTCTGACATATAATATTTCAAATATCCATGGGAAAGCATTTCTTATTAAAACTAATTTGTCAGCAGCAACAGCAGTGTTGGCAGCCGCAGAATGGAGGAGGAGGTTTGAGTAGGTGTGGATGTATGATGATGTATATAGACTTTGAAAAATAAAAAATAAATAAGAAAAAGTGTGTTTAACTCTTCATGTCCAGCATATATACTATAATGTGGGTACCTCAAACATTTCCATTTCATGACCAAGGGACTTAGTCACCAGGGGTTGGGAATAGAACCCTGGGGACAAATCTGTAGTATGATTGTGTCCATCTCTTCATAGCCAGCTATTACATATATGGTTATTGGGTGGGTATCTCAACCTATTAGATTATCTTTGGCTAGACCCCCAGGCAATCCTGGTGGCAAGTTTGTATCAAAATGTCGATGCTCAGAAATTGTGTACATAAGGTTATGAAGTGGGAACCACAATTATTTCAATTTATGATCCCTATGGGTGGGGGTAGACCCAGAAGCAATCATGGTAGCATCTGCATTTGTATGGCTATTATTGAGGATGTTACAAGAACCTAAATAGAATTACGTAATCTAATGTTAAGACAATGTATTCCAATGTTTCATGGCCACTTGGAAAGCTTAAAAAATGAATTAATGGAGGTCAACAAGCCAGAAAATATTCAACATTTTCAAAGCCGTATAAGAGTTTTATATACATACAATTGTACCACTTTAGCATACAAACATATTTGTTGATTACATCTATTCTATCATGTCCAAGGTAACATACCACAGTTTAGCCACACTGCGCAGTGTGACTTTGATAAGGGGGGAGTATACATATCTGGGATTTACCACTGTTTCATTGTCAAGGTGGTAGCATTATTTATATTATTCATTCACATTTTGTTTACATTCTTGCTCAACATTTTGTAGTAACATCTGGGAGTACTTGAATTCAATCAATGCATATAAGCTATATAATAATTATGTATAACTGCTTGTGTGGGACTCCAACATCTCAATCATGTATATAATGCTTTACTGTCAATTTACACAAAAAGGTATTGTGCAATATATTAGTTACCTAGAACAACAGAAATTATCAGTTAAAATTAATTCAAGTTTTGACTATAACTGCTTAATGAATGTATTTTCTAAACGTTTCGGGTTCTGACTAACAATTCTCTATTGTTTATGTCCATATGTCTGGTTTTTTATCAGTAAAGAAAACTTTTACAATATAAGTACCATAGTTAATGGCTGGTGTGTCCGAGTCTGTAACACTCGGGTGTGTCCGAGTCTGTAACACTAGATGTGTCCGAGTCTATAACACCCGGGTGTGTCCGAGTCTGTAACACTCGGGTGTGTCCGAGTCTGAAACACTCGGGTGTGTCCGAGTCTGTAACACTCGGGTGTGTCCGAGTCTGTAACACTCAGGGTGTGTCAGAGTCTATAACACTCGGGTGTGTCCGAGTCTGTAACACTCGGGTGTGTCCGAGTCTGTAACACTCGGGACAACAGATAAGTAATACTCAGGGGAAAGGGTTGACAGTTGAGAGAATCAGATTGGAGTGACCTTATACTTACATGTCGGGTCAACCGTGGAGGGCGCGGTTCCTGTACCACAGGTCACTGTAGGGCAACAGTTTGGAAAGAGTGCACCAGTGTCTTCCACTACCTGACAATTTCCATTGTCCAGGTCTGGGAGGTATGGATGGCAGCTTTAGCAAATCAGTATACACAATGTTATGACCTATTTAATATGCCAGTCATCAGGTATAAATGTTATCAGCTATGATAAAATAGACACGTTGTTTTAGTTATTTCTAGTAGTAATAATACATGTATTGCATTTATTAGTGATGGCAATAATATGGCCCACCTATCCAACAGCTCCTGTTATACATTTAGTGTCAAATAGAGATTGTTTTACCTGAGTGATACAAAGTAGTTTCCAGAAGTCTTTTTGTGACAGATTTTAGTGTCACATGATCCCAAGGAAATAGTTGTTTCATCCAAATCAGCCATGGTGTTGCCATTGTAATCTACACATTCTGAAATTACATATTAAAAAATAAATAAAAAGTAACCATATGTTATACCATCTGTAAAAGGCTGAGAATGTCATACTGCACACAATATGATTCATATTATTGTAAGTTAGTATTTCCGTTGAATATATCACCACTTTATACTAAAGGTGAAAACAAAATATTGGACCGAGTTGTTTGCCCGCGACCAGAGTTTGGAGGGTCCTCACTGGTTTGAACCCAGGACTGACTGTGCATTTCTATTCCCTCTCCTGTACATGGCTGCCTATGACCAAACCTTGTTTCAAGAATTGAATGTAAGCTTGGCAAGGGGATACCCAAACCTGGGATGTAAATAATGATGTCTTTGGGGCTCTTTTGGCTAAAAACCACAGGTGCTCGGGTTCTGGAATATATGCCGTATATTATCGCACCCCACTAGCTATCGCAACAACACGTGCCTTATGCTATGATTTATAAGTATAAGTCTAGTGGGGTGCGTTAATATAACATATATATTCCAGAACCCAAGCACATGCATGTGAATCAAAACTGTATAGAAACTACGGCAATGTCAGTGAACGTAATATACATCTATAGTCGGTTGTAAAAGACTTTAACAGGCTGATGTTATCATGTTAAACTACGTACCGACTTATAAAGTAAGTTTACTTGACTTGACTTGCATGACGATGTAAACTATCGTCACTGTTTGGCGTCCGTAGCAACTCAACGAACTCGTCACTTACCTCCCGTTAGCTTCTCCTTAGAGGTGATTTCAACCACTCCAAATACAAAGGATAGATTGTTCTGACAGAAAACGAAAATCAAGATTGAAATGACAACAGAATGTACTTTTGGCAGCAATTTCGTTTTCCTGATATCGCCCGCCATCTTTGTTCGTTCACCCCAAGGCGGAAGTACGTTGTACCAGGGTACAGGTTCCTCGTGCAGTGGTCTAAGGGAGGCAACTCAATCGGAAACTCATCTGGCTAAGAAAACTGGCAAAGAAGGTTTCAGAAAATGACCCTAGTGTTGACCGGTCACGTGACTGGGGTGTGACCTACAAACAGATGAGAACTGTACATGTTTGGAGATTACATACAGAATATACGTCTCTGATATTGTGGATAGGATTTGAACGATTAGCTCCGCATTGCGCGCTTTTTAGTTTGTAAGTATACTTTCTATTTCCAAGTTATGTTTTTAACTTTTAATCAATACATGATGCATGCACAAATAAGGTGGGCAGTTTTGTAGAAAATGACGGAAAGGGTACACATGCAAACACGTGTTTGTGATTATTTACATATATGCCTACTAGCTTAGTTATCGTAGCGCATATTATGAAAGTGTAACAGTTGCTGAAGTAACCAATTACGGCAGGGACAGTATATCGGTGAGATTATGAAATACGGTGTCAGAACTAGAACACACTTCTATTGAGCTATACGATGTGTTTTATCACGGAATTAGATAATAAACGGAATTCTATTCTAAGTCTGTGCTATTATTTAATTTAAGTGTTGCCTGATGTGCATATGTAAACTATATATTTCGCCGTCGTCTAATATCTATATTTTGACATGGCGTAGAATCGTCATGCATCTTTAATGCATCCATGGTGGGCCCTTCCCTTTTCGGATACTACTTTTTCTCTGGCCACAAATAGGAGCTTTTTTGTATTTACATCAGATTAAATGCGGCGATTGGCGACAACCCCCTCACCCATATTATTGAAAGCTTCGAATATCCTTTTCTGTGAGAAATTATTTACATAGGGGTATGTTTCCTTCATTTGTAGATTACTGTATACAATACGCCTATATTATAACCCCTTTATCTATGTGCTCGGGTGTCACTGGTCTGTGACACCGGATGATTTTTATCTTACAAAGGATCACTTTTGGCTTGTCTAACGACGTACCACGTACCACGTATACCTTATACGTAGTGACCCATATCTATCGTAAACCACGGCATTGTGACTTTAATATACGTTGACAAATCTTCCGAGATTAATGTTAGCATGTGTGTATATATATATATATATATATATATATACGTATAAATCAGTTCAAATAGTATGAACGTGTTGACCACGGGGCATAGAGATATATAAACAACCTTAACGACCGTCAAGTCGCATTTCTATATACACCTGTACATGTATAATTAAGGGTGCGATTCCTTTGAGGGCAGCAGGTCATCATCCTTTTCAACTTAAATGTTAACTCCTCGCCCTGTGCAGTGGTGGATCCAGAAGTGTTTTTTGGGCTTCANCCGCCACTGCTGTGGATACTCAATGATCATGACATGATTATATTTAAGAATAAAAAATGCCACTATTCTTTACATTCCTGCATAGGAAGTCTTCGATATGATGCCATTCGCTTTACCTCCCCGCTTTCCGTCTACTTATTTCAAGGTCCATTTATAATTTTCCCTGACAATTAATCTACTACATGTAGATCCCCTCGCTATTTCGCCAAATACCTTTATATTAACACAAATATGGCTTTATAACGAGGTTTACATGCAACTATGTAGTTAAAGTTTAAAACATAAATATTCGAACTTATGTTTACACTAACTGCTAGTTCGTGATCATTTTATGATAATTTTTGCGATACTGAAACTGAAAACAAAAACCTCTGCCTCACGAGTCAGCCGTAGAAAATCCCAGTATTATAGGAACTTCACTTTTAACACAAAGTAGTGTTTTATTATTGAATTCAAATTTATTTGCGTACATATATTTACATTTCCACGCATCATGAAATATGCTTGAAATGTTTGTTTTTAACTATGATAAATTACAGGCTTTTGTGAATATGTGGTAAATGTATGTATAAACGTACCGTGAAAGCGATATTACGAGGTCAATATTACTATTGAGGTACATGTTCATATATGCACATATTCACCGAAATAAAAGTAATTAATTGTTGTATAAGGTATAAAATCATGATTTTTCTTTTATCATTAAACAAAATGGAAATTATGAAAATCGCAAAGTAAAGTAAAATGTTTGTCAAAAAGCATTGCTAATATTTTGTATACGTTATGATTAAGCAAGACCATATCGAGAATATTATTCTGTTGTTTCCAAAAAATAATAACACCGAGTCAATATCACAAATCAATCTTGACTTCCAGGTGATCTTGATCCAACCAGTCAGGCTTTAGAAAACATAGCCTGTATCGTCTGATATCGACCCTGAACGGACCACATCGGGTTTATGAGAAATTCCAGAATGTCCTGCCGTCAAGTCTAAAAGTTGCCTATAATTTGTTTCCAAAGTTAGCCTTTATTAAACTCTCAATTAATCCGCACGTAGAAACTAATAGATTCCGTGGACGACAACGCCAGACGATCGGAAAACGGAAGTATGCGCATTACATCATCTAAAGCAGAATTATACTGTACCAAAATCTGTGTTTCCTGACCCGCTTTCTAAACCACACTCAACGACCTGCATGACTAGTTCGTGGCTGTATCGGCAGACAAAGCTTTGATAAGCTGTTCCTTTTCTGCATACACTATTACATGGTTACCTGATTACCAATGATACCATACTTATACATGATCCAGGAAGACGAAACACTAACTGATCTTGCTTCTAATTGCTTCTGGTACCATTTAATCAGGATTACCGTACAGCGATTTTGATTTCCGTTCTTGAACTATCCTTTTATCGATAGTAAAAACTCTCCTTTTTCAACCTCTTCTTCGAATTCAAAGGGTCCACTCTTGGTAAACAAATATTCTCTGCATCCATGAATCTTGAAATATGTCTACTTTCCCAACCTCTTCTTCGAATTCAAAGGATCCACTCTTGGTAAACAAATATTCTCTGCATCCAGGCATCTTGGAATATGTCATGGCAAAATCAAGTGCTGTTTATGCGTCACTTTGCGGGCAATAGAAGTAGACATATTTGATGACGACCAAGGAAATCGCGCGGAAGTTTAACAGTAACGTCGATGAGCTTTGAGGTCGGGTGTCGCTCCTCTGTATCAAATGTTATGTATATACAATATACAAAGAACAGGTATGAGGCTAGCGATTAGTAAGGTGTAAGTAGTAAGATGAGGCCCGCGAAGTAGCTAAATGCGGACCTTTAATTTTGTAATGACATAGTCCGAGGGTGCAGACAAGATCGAGCGCGGAACCATTCTATTTCGAAGATGTCCCAACTTACTGTGATAACATATCGCAATCGACTCGATCTTCATAGGTTTGCTCTGAAGATCCCTTTATGTGATAAATTTCGAATCACGACAGACAAACTTCAATTGCCAGTTTGTGACAATACGATTGCCTGTTATGTAATAATATATTCAATATTCAAACACGCAGCTGATGGGGACGGACAGTTATGGTACTATGCATTGAAGTGTACATTCAAGTACATGGTGCAGGCGTAAACGCAATAGCCACTAATATGTATTGGGCTTTATTATGAACAAGCATATGACCAACCGGAATAAGCTGATGCATGACCTGTTCTGTCATCCGGTTTACATACATGCATATATAAAAGAAAGATACCTTGTAGAGCTTCCATAGAAGCAGGAAGTACTTGAAAGCTGTTTTCGTATATATATATATGTCACTAAAATTGACTTATTCATTTATTTATTTTAAAAGGACTTATTTATTCATTATCTACTATATATATATATATATGTACATGTAACATAGAGACACAAATGTAACAAAGTTAAGGTAATAGGATTGTGTCGCCATTTCTCAGTAGAATTTATTCAAATTTTGTAGATATATTGCTTTGAAGTAAAGAAAATTTTCTGCCACAAAAAAAATCCAACTCACGCTGCACCACACCTAATGTCGCCTTTTCCCCGAAAAAGGAAGATTTAATGTTGAAGTGGTCAACAGCCTAAAACCTTCGACATGTTTATGGTTATAAACCCTGGTGTAGGCCCTGAGTGATAATATCTTTTTCACATACAAATATAGATATGTTAAACTGAATCTGTGGGTGCCTTGGTAGCCGTGATCGCTAACGTTAACGCGCACAGACTACTACTGGGTGCAATCAAGCATGAACTTCAGAACACTCACTCTCCCAAGAAGTTCGGTTCGATTCCCGACGGTGGCGGAAAAGAGAGAGTGATGTCTGATAGGGTAATTAGTTGTTATCCCTCCGATGGTACAATATAATACCGATTAGACTGCTTTAACAGTAACTCTGAATGCTCTATTTATATTTGTAGATTCCTAATATGAATTGTTCCAAAGAGTTTCCGACAACTGGCGTCCTGTATAAATGTAAGTGTTGATTTGTGTTGTTTTGTCTTAGGTGATTTGTTTTTATTTTTGAGAGTCTTTTACAAGGTGTGTTTCAAGAACACTTTGGGATGAGTTATATAGCCTCGCATGAAATGAAAACCATTTCAGATCTATTTCATCTTGTAGCCAATACCGTATGTATATAACGTTAAATTCTTTAAAATGATCGTTCTGTAAATTTTAATAATCACCAGTAATACATTTACGAAACAAGGAAAAATCTACATGAATTTTAGCCAGTATTGCAGAGAGCCAAACAAGGTAAGCATAGTAGTTAGTGCTTAGGTCAATAAGAGTGAAAAATCAATGTCTAAAGTGTCCCAGAATAAAATGGAAAGTGAGGGAAAGATGCCTGTAAACAATTTACATTATTTAGCTGCTTCAGATCTGTCTTTGAACAAGTATTCTATATTAACTGTGTAGGAATAAGGATGACCATCTATGAATCTACACAATGATTTAATCTTCATAATAGTTCTATTTGATGTCATCATCTTGACGTCTTTTATCTCGGTACTTCACATCACGTCCGTGTTATGACGTCGTTGTTGCTTACAAAAAAATAATAATGAAAACTACATCGTCATCAAGTATTGACTCATTACAATCCTATCAATGTGACAACTGTTACAAACACGACTCAACCCTTATACAAGAAAATGGAATGGTATTGCGAAAGATATCAATTAGACCAAATACTGAAGTGATTGGTTGAGTGATTAAGCTGATTGGTTGATAATGTATATTCCAGTACTCTCGTCAGATACAGCTGTGCTTGCCCTGACAGCTATCACCTGTACCATCACTTGTATCACAATCGGGTTGTTTGCAGAGGAAGTATGGTTTCTGTTCCACCATTGCCACGAGTCTTCCAAGCGGACCAAAATTATTTTGTTGCTGGCACTATATCCGGTATGTCTTTCCCTGTGATGGTATATCAGTCATTTATAAAAATTACGCTTTTGTTATTTCGTCCAAGTAATTAGATATGCCTGTATATACAACGTTTTAAACACAATGAATCAATATGAAACAGCAAAACTTTTAAGGAACTGATCCATACAGATAAGGATATAACAGTAAACAAACGATGATCACTGTAAACTATTCTAAAATAATATTTCAAAAGTGTTTTAATCGATGGTGATTCATACATTTTCCCTCTTGGTGCTGAAGCATGCACGATGACTAACAACGAGGCAGGATAGACACATTTTACTTGAACAGATTTCTTCTTTATCTGTTGTAGATTGTGTCATTTGCCTCTTCGTTATGTATCCTGGTACCGACCTCGACTTTGATTGGCGAGTTTGTGTCTAGTATGTAAGTATTGCAACTGATGTTCCTTCGTTATAGTCTATACAATAGAATGACCTGTTGCATCTTACATGATAATCTAGATCTGCATCACAGAATAAGACTGTCGCATCAAATAGAGAAAGTCATACAAAGTAAAGTGTTACTGCACCTAATAGACATTTCGTCCCTTTAGGACTCATCAGTCTCGCTGAAGGTCTAAAGAATGAACAATCCACGTACACAGTTATGTTAATGATATCGAGACAGACATAGAGGTAGGGTATTGACATACACGTATGTTGGTGGCAAAGTTTACTAAATAAAATGATGTTTTGCTTTCAGATACCTGTCATTTTGCATCTTCATCTTTGTAAATTTGGCGATAGAATGTTTCGGAGGTCTGAACAATATGCTAAATGAATACTACGATCAGACTATTAGCTTCAGGACGGGGCCCTGCTGTTGTTTTTGTATCTGGTTGCGATACATACCGCTCACAAGGTGAATCATAGTAGGAAATGACAACATTAGGTTCAAAGCAATGATGGTTTTATGTCTTTAAAAGACATTTTGTACAGCATGTAAATGAGCGATAACAATATTTCAATATTTCAATATGTAGGTATATTGTTGTTTGTTTTACAACAATTATGAAACAGATTAATTCAGTTAATGTTTATGAATGTGTTATTAGTTTTGTCATCATGACCGTCGCCGAGGTCCTTTGCGCTATCAATTTTTTTTAATGAACAATGTTTTATTTTGTTTCTTTCTGTCCTGATAGACGAACAATGACATTAATCAAAGGTTTAGTGCTACAGGTAGCTATCCTGAGACCTTTGAACATGTTCATATTGGCAGTGATGTGGTCAGATGGCAAATTCGAACTTAACCAACAAGTACGTACCTAAACTCATTGTTTGTTTTAGCTAGACGAAATGAATGTCTTTAACATGTCCTTGTCGACTCAGCGTTTTGAGTATTACGATGTAGATATTAACCCTATTTGTGATTTGATATAATATCAAAAACGATCCTCTGTGTAATGTTTGTGAGTAAAATTAAGGTAATTTGTTATGTTTTGTATATTAAATATGCCCAATATTGCAATATGTAATTACATACATAAGCAGGCAAACAGTAGGTGAACAATTTTTATGAAATACTACTATTTTTCTCATCAAATGTACAAAATAGTGTTGTTGAATTTACTTACACCAAGTAAATATGCTATATATATGATTTGTTTTCATATATCGAAATACTATATATCCGGAGTTCCGTTTAAAACATAAAAAAAAACTTTGAAAAGTAACAAATACTGCAATACTCTTTGATACTAACACTTAGGTAATATTGTATAGTAGAACTGGTCTGGTCCTAAAATAAAAGGCATGTCTGATATACAACTTAGACAGTGACTTCATCCTGCACAACACGCCTTATATATCTTACACCAAATACATACAAACACTTATAAACTACATTATAAATACAAGTGTTTTCCCCAGATTTTGGACTTTTTTGACCTGTGAAAACCGGGGTTACCACATAAAAAATAGCCGAAAATGCAAAGAAACGTTTTAATTCTAACTCAAATCTTAAAACCTGTCTCAAATTAAATATCCCTTATTCGGTAACAGAAATACTCACGTTTAAGGTGGGTCCATCCTTTGGATATTTCACAATATTTGTTCACGTGCTTAGTACAAAAATAGATTCCTTTCTCCCTTTTATAGTTACCGAGTAATGTGGATTTTCCTGACTGGTGTTTTTGATCAGTTCTACTCGCAAATTACCAACAAATGGAGGTAATCTGAAAAAAATAAACCTTGAATTGGTTTGTAATTTTCATGACTACAGTTTCATTTTGGGTCAAATATGATGTTTTGAGATCTTGTGCATGTGGAAAACAGAACTGTACAGTGATACTGTGATGTTTCTATCTTGTTAGCTCACCTGGTCCAAAGGACCAAGGTGAGCTTATACCATACCGTGGCGTCCGTCGTCCATCCGTCCGTCCGTCGGTCCGGCCGGCCGGTCGGTCCGTCGTCCGTCCGTCAACAATTTCTTTAAACGACTTCTTCTTCTTAACCACTGATTGGAATTTAACTAAATTTGACTGGAAGCATCCCTAGGTGGTGGGGATTCAATATTGTACAAATGGTGGGGCTGACCCCCCAGGGGGCTGAGGGGCGGGGCAAAAAGGGGGCAATTTGACTAAACTGCTTTAAGCGACTTCTTCTCTGGATCTAAATGATGGATATCAACCATATTAGACTGGAAGTATCCCTAGGCTGTGGAGATTCAAAATTATACAAATGGTTGGGCTGACCCCCCAGGGGGCTGAGGGGCGGGGCCAAAAAGAGGTAATTTGGCGATATTTCTACAAACGACTTCTTCTCTGGAACTAAGTGATGGATATCAACCATTAAAGGGGTAATTTGGCTTTATTTCTACAAACCACTTCCTCTGTAGAACTATGGGCTTGATATCAATCATATTTAATCAAAAGCATATATGGGATGCAGGGATTCAAAATTGTACAAATGGTGGGGCTGACCTCCCAGGGGGCTGAGGGGCGGGACCAAAAAGGGTTATTTGGCTATATTGCTTTAAGCGACTTCTTCTCTGGAACTAAGTGATGGATATCAACCATATTAGACTGGAAGCATCCCTAGGTGGTGGGGATTTAAAATTGTACAAATGGTGGGGCTGACCCCCAAGGCTAAGGGCTGGGGCCAAAAACAGTTTATTGCCTTGAAATGGTTGAGATCCCCACCATATAACCACATGTACAATTGCTGAGTATAAAGAGATGAATGCACATATGCTTCCAGGAGGGCCTTGGGGACTGCCCCACCCTTGGAGACTTAACCCCTGGGTCATAACTTTGAAATGGTTAAGATCCCCACCCCAAAACTATATATACAAATGCTGGGCATAAAGAGTCGCATGCAGTCATGATATTAGAATTGACCCCAGGGTTTTCCCCACCCTTGCAGACTTAACCCCTGGGTCATAACTTTGAAATGGTTAAGATCCCCACCCCAAAACTATGTATACAATTGTTGGGCATAAAGAGACAAATGCAGTCATGATATTAGAATTGATCCTGGGGTCTGGCCACAACCATAGGGACCTAGTTTCTGAGGCACAGATTGGAAACAGTTGAGATCCCAACCCCATAACCATACATAAAATTGCTGGTCATGAAAAATCGAATACAGATATATATGCTACAAGGATTGGCCTTGGGGTCTGGCATATTCCGATGGATCCCATTTGGAGAATTCTGCCATGCTTGCTTAGATATCCAGGTGAGCGATACAGGCCATATGGGCCTCTTGTTCTTTGATGTCATGGTAACTGTGATGTCATCATAACTATGATGTTTCCAATGGGCATCTATGACATCATCAATAGTAATAAAGACGTTTCTCGAAACCGATCAACAGCACCAAAATATCAGATATTCTGAAACATCAGACACGTGACACCATAGCAACTGTTGTTTACATAGAAATGACAGCGACCCTCAGAAGTTGTTCATTCAACTTATTCCACTTGACAGAATGCTTATTAGATATTAATTGGTTTTGTTGACCTTGATTATTTTTAAAAACTTTGAAAAAACCTTTTACCCATTTCCAATAAATACAACTTTTATGTGTAGTAACCATGGATACCGGGTGCTGAACTGAGTGAAAGAAACTTTAATCGAGTCTGTGTGCATAAGAAATTGGCTTGTGAAGTATTTGTTGTTTGGTAACAGCTTTACCAATTATATAATTGCTATATTAACATGAATTGTGAAATGCCTGTGCAAATAGCGAGTCACCTCCCTTTATACATCCCACAGGTTGATATGCTTATGGCATATACATGTAGCTGTTCAAAAGTTTTTGTTTAATTTTAAGCAAAATTGGATGAAAATAAAGCTTAATCAAGCATACAAAATAATCAAAAATTAATTTTCTCATATACAAAGTCGTATTTCTCATATACGGTCGAAATGGCCTGATCCTAAAATCATGTCTGAGATACACATGGATAGTGGATTCATCCAGCATAGCACACCTTTATATATATAAAAAATGTATATATATATATATATACAATTTTATACAGATTTTAGACTTGTGAAAACCATGGTTACCACTCAAAAAACGCGAAGAAATGCAAAAAAAAGAAAAACATCAACACAAAATTTGACCTACACAGATAGAAGTCTTTTTGTGAAAATCTGTCTTAAATCAGATATCACCTACTCGATAAACAAAAGTTCTGACGTTACAGCATACGTGGAAATTCACTATATTACACATGTACTGAGTATAAAAATAACTAGCTTTTGTTGTGTAGACATTGATTTGTAAATAGCCCCAAAACTAATTTTTTGAAACAATTATGAAGCCCATATAGTCCATTTCATCATGTACAAATGCATATATGCCAATTCTACTGTTGATATTTTGTAAGCCATGTACGCCAAAAACTGAAACTAGCATTTAAAAACTGTTTTGCCGGCATGACTATACAATTGCTTAATAATTTCAGAAAAGAAAATAGTGTTTGCGGAACTCATTGGAAAACAATAACAAAAAATCAACATCAGTAGTCTCAATGTAAAAAAGCAGGAATGCCAAACCGGGATTCGAACACTGGACTACCAATCTTTATCTTGTTGCTCTAACTGCTATTGGTATTTAGAGATGAGGATAAAGTATCTTTCAAATGTAATAGGCTAACACATAATATATTAATCTCAATACTTTTGTTTTACAGACCGACTTTACCAACCCAGCTGCATATTTCAATCTAGTAAACACCGTGTCAACTCTTTTGGCTATTTACGGGTTAATGGTTACTTTCCGAGCTACCAGAGAAAAGCTGAAGACGTACCGCATGACGCCCAGATTTATTTCCCTTCAAGGAGCTTTGTTGTTTATAAATCTCCAGAGCTTCATTACGGGATTTCTTGGAAGAGCAGGTATTCCGGAATGCTCCAATACTATTGGATCCACTGTTAGAGCTTCACGTAAGTCTCCTTATCTCTCTAAAGTTGTTCACATTTTTGTCTTTACTTTCAAAAGGCCAAATGACAACGTCCTATTAAAAATGATTCCATTTGCATTGGAATGTGATAATTAAAACATATTTTTACGAAATTGGATAGATTGTCTCTTCACTACATGTAAACACATTTCACTGGAGAATAATTGGAAATTATCAATTGTATAAAATCTTATACATCCACTGCAATGAAGATATACGGAATTTTACCTTTTCAAATGCAAACATACCACTGTAAGTATTGTCTAATCAGGACGGTACGCTCTATTTACTGCGTCGAATTTCGGTCTCAAGTTCAGAGGAAGCGACGGCAGAATAAGTGGTTGTTTGGAACACTTTTGTTGCATACACTTTTATATGTACGTTATCTGTATGATTTATGATTTAGATCACAATCTATGTGTCTATATTTTGTTGGAAATTTGTTACCAGAACGGTATAAATATGTCGGGTAGCCCATTCATAATATCACTCTGTCTTGCAGTCAAGCGTGACGTTATTAGACATGACGTCAATATTGCGCTGATTTCTGCACGTTTTTTGATGCAACTATTGTTGTTTCGTGTTACTTTATAAATCAAATGTAAAATGGTTAGAAAATGTAATAGTTTCCTGTTAAATACCATATATGTTTCTCCCATATGACAGATAATACCGATATTTTGTACGTCGCACTCGTAATTGATTATCAGCAGGAAACTTAAAATATTTTTTATTTATTAGTTTTAGTTCAGATAAGCAGATTTTAACTAAAACCTGTTGTAAGAAATCTTCTAATTTTAGCATAAACATTAAATCATGAGTAATTAAGACTATTATTACATATCGCTAAAGAACAGAGGCTGGATGTCTAGAATAACCACATCATAAATTTTCTCTGTTGAAAATGTTTGACTTCCATTTAATTTGACTGTATAACCATAATATTATAATAAATGCACAAAACTGTAGAAATGATCTGACAGTATTCGTGGTATATCTTTAAGAATGATAAAGAATAATATTGCGTTTCCGAACTTCAAATTAATCGTAACATTTGTATTTTGATTGATTGCAGGAGTGAATCATTTCTTGTTGATTATGGAAATGTTCTTGCTTGCCTTGCTGGCACGTTATGCCTACCGTGCTGTTGAAGAAACTATCGTAGTAAGTGAGATGAACGGGACTAACGGAAACCAAAGAGGACCTTCAAATGACGTCACGAAGAACGGAAACAGTGTTGCAGACACCGAAGTCGAAATAGACAATGTAAATATAGTTGTAGATCATGATTCCACAACACAGTTATCTGTCTAAACACGCTAAAGTGCTAGAAATACATAGTTTCAGTGTTTTTGAAAACACTCTGAAGACAAAATGTTGTTTTCATGCAGTCCGAGTTTTCTCTCACCTTTCATTGTGACTTTAAAGTGAAATGTTTCTAAGCATCACACACTTGGTTTGAAATGATATGTTTTATCATCTATCACCTAGCAATAGTGTATCGTTCACTGTTTTAGTTACGATATTCATACTTAAAATTTTAAAACTCTTCACACAAAAGTTAAATAACAATTACGCAAGGAAGCAAACAAATCTCGTTCTTTCAATTGAACTTTAATAACGATTGATTCATTTTGGTGGTAAAAGAAAACTCGGATGATTGCCATGGTGACGGTGGAATGCATGGTTGGTGAAGGCAACCTTTACAACTGGTCACGGTACTGACCGCTAGATTATACTACACAACTGAAGTCCCCGTCTTCATGATTTTAGATACAAGTATTTGCTAGAACACATGTGTGCCCCACCCCTTCCCCCGACTCCCAGTCGTTAAAGAGTTTTGGTGGCAATGATGAGAACGTCAGAATAGAGTTTACTATTTAGTAATGGCTATCGTTAAGTCATTGGTGTCTGTTTTTGTACAATGAAGACGTTTTTTTTGTAGATTCAGAACACCCTTTGTCACTCATTTTTTTTTAAAAATAGCGCATATATCGGCGCTTTTGTTTGAACGATGTTTTCACTTCCTGTCTTAAATTCAAAATATATGCTTTGCTAAACAAAATTGTCAACAGTGTCAACATAACTAATATACACATATGCTTTTTCAATTTTAAGAATTGGAGTTTCAGCTCTGCCTCTGAGTATATATAGGAAGGTTCATGGTGCGTTTCCTTTTGTTTTGGTTTTTCTTTATCTGTTGAGGACTTACGGTCCTTATTTAGTTCGAGTGAATTGACGCAGGTATTTACTCGTATTATACAATATCCTTGGTCTATAACGGTACATCTACGATTATATTTAATACGCATATCAGAAACCTGTATCTGTTAAATGTTAATTCAACAAGGTTCTAATTATACTGAAGTTCCTGTGACAATTGTAAAATAAATACCCCAATTTCTATTTGAAAAATTACACAAATATCATGCATGTATTACATACGAAATAATTGTTCTAGTGAACAATGACGTCTGCCATTGGTGCTAAAAAAATTATTGTCAAAGTTTTTTTTATCTGAGATTAACACACACGCAATATTACCGTGTCCAGCTGTAATTGATTTCTCACTTGCAACGTACCACAATGTAAAAAGGATAAGACGTAAATGATACTAATTGTCAGGTGCGGTCATTTCCCGCCTTTAATTAGTTATAGCTTGGAAAGGTATATCTTGACCAGGTTCTTCTTCTTCTTCTTCTAATATTATCCGTCCGGGTATCAACTCCCAACTCTAGTATTGGGATCTTCCGTTAATTAAAAAAGGCTGCAACTAAAGTCACTAAATAACAAATTAAACAGTATTAATTGAATAATTAAGCAATTCATAAAAAAATATATACAGATACATGCACTTGAACAAGCTGTACCAACTGTTATAGATCCATTATTAAAACAGCATGAATACAAATAATAACTCATAATGGGTTATTCACTTGTTCGTTTGGAAACTTCTTAATGCACAGATTAGATAACCAAAACACTATACGATATGAATTATTTTATGAACTTGGCATTAGTTAATCTTATATTTGATTATGCACAAAGTTGCTAATTCAGATAGTTTAGCACTATAAAGACTCATTGAACAAAACATTCGATCATCTAAACGTTTCACGAAGTCGGATATGTTTGAACTGATATAGATTTTTCCCACCGTTATATTATGGCACAAGCGTTGTTGGGGTTGGTAGTGTTTCGCTTTCGTCGGTTAACATATAATGACACGGAATTCATGTGATTAGACTTTGCTCATTATTTACATATTTTCTTTACATATGGTTGATGTTTTTATTGCTTGATATTAGCAGATAAGGACACTAGCATACAATTTTAGGGGAAAAGGGTTAGTTACTTTTGTTCTTCTCAGGTTTATTATTTTAAAGAATTTTTACATATAAAATATACAAGCTTAAATCATTATGCAGCTTAAATTATAATGAATGAATAAATATCTTTCTTACTTTTCTTGAAATTGTTTTTTTGTTGTATATTATGTCAATTATTGAATAATCGTCTGGGTACAAACTAATGCTCTTTCTCTTTGAAACAAGATTTGATCAGCGAAACAGAAGCTACAGCAGACAAATTTATGCCGATTATGGCGGAATAATTCCGCCCTACTTCAACGTTCAGTAAAAACAGTGGTGCTAATGTCAAAATAAGTCCGCGAATCCGATCAAAATTGCATCAATAGTATATACCCGGGGACAGGAAGATGACCTCTGTTCTGATCTTATCCCCCTCATTACAGTTTTATCAAAAACCTACGCTGTCAATGGACCATTAAAGCGACAGATTTAAACATAAACTTCTTACTCAAACTGACAGCCCTGCTTTTAGTACGAGATCACAGAGGTTAAATCACAATAGCAGGATTGCGTTCAATATACATTTGCAATAAAAAAAAAGTGTGCATTGACGTTTAAAGACAAAGCAGTTTTTTAAAATATTTTATGTTAAAGTGTGCATTTCCCACTTGAGACAGCAAATGCCGTGCTGTAATGTTCGCTAACACTCTGTTTTTCTCGATATAATTACTGACTCGATTGGATAAATAAACATTTGTCTTGTGTGGCGTCCTGGGATTCTGCGACTGAGTTACATATGCACCATCCTTGTACTTAAACATGCAGCATTGACGCTATTATTAAATGTAAAACAAAAGCAAGTTAAACAATTAAGAGGCCGGTGTACTTCCACCGGGCGTGACACTCCAATACTCTGTACCGGATACAGCTGATGTTGTTTTACTCTCACGATTTAAACTATCAAAGCAGGAATTTGTACACGATTTACGATAAATGCAGTTCAGCGACTTTAAATACATGCTTTCACTTTCTTTGAAAGTCAACTGTGAATTTGTTTGAGTTAACTATTCTTGTTAACAATAACCCTTATTAACAGAATCTGGAAACAAGGGTCAAAAGCAATATTGAAGATTCCTGAGCTCATATGTGTATTTAGTCCACTCTAAAACCTATTTTGCCTAATTAGTTGATCCACGATGTTAAGATTTTAAACAGTTCAGATGTGAATTAATATCTATATACTCAGATGAGAAATACAATGGTTATTATTAATGTTAATGATGACAGCAAGCTAATTGTCTTACATGAAATCTCATATCAATGATTATAAACAATTGTCACCACACATATGTTATAGCATTTTCACTCCAACTGCCATTTATTGACATGATCCGGCGTCAGTACTTGTGGAATCAGCTTTCCTCTGCTGAGATGACATTATCGGTGTTTTGTTCATCTGATGAATTATTGAAGCATAAAACTTGTAGAAAGAATGATACATTTTGACAACAAGAGACATTACATGACAACGTCTAAGAAAAAAGACAAGCATAAATATATTGTTGGCCCCATCTCTAATTAAAATTATACAATATATGCCTCTCTATTTTTATCCATAATCGTCAAAATACACATAGAAGTTATAATTGCATGAAACACATATCTTTGTTACGCCAGGTCAACTTTGAAATGCAATTCAATAAATCATTGGACACAGTTTTGAAATGCCCATAGTTACAGATCGTATTTAGTTGTTTTCATAAAAATGGGATATCATCGATATGTTCGATACCAGAAGAATATTTCCTATATTATCATTGTAGGTCAAAGTGGGAGAAGCACAAGAAGCCCGATATATGTATAAAAAAAACACATATTAACAATATGTGAGAATGATATGTACTAATATGTAACGACTGTGCTCTGGTTGATTTAAAATTTCACTTTGCACCTATTTTTGCGATCCATCAGTCAATTATTTGACTAAAGCAGTGATTGTAGTTGAACAATTTAAAACAATATAATAATGGCAGATTAGTGTACTTTCCAGGTAACCAGTGAACTCTGGACTCTAAATAGTTTAGCATCGATTACAAAATCGATTTATTGTATCCATATATTATTGTATTAGTAAGGTGACTGTACTCGGGACTAATTCTGTAAGTTTTTAACAGATTATGATGGTGAGTTGTATATTTGGTATTGGTTTTCGCTAATTTTGCGGTACTAAGTCAGCGTGAAAATACGTCTGGACATCCGAACATAATGGTACATATTGAAATAAATAATGCATCAGCAAATCCAGTAAGTAAATACCCAAATCGCAAATTATTTTAAAGGTCAAAACATAACAATTCCTTCACTAAAAGAAGTTTTATTTTAAATGCATTGTGGTTTTCATGTTAACATGCTGTTTGGTAAGGAAACATTGTTTATTTCGCGTACTTATATTCTATTACAAACATTTGAACACGCTAAGGCATCATGCGCTACTCGATCCAGCTTTTCCTCTTTTTTTTCGAAAAAAAGATTCATCTGCCAATTGTTTATCATTTAAGGCAATGGAGTTAGACGTGTAGTTTAGCACGTCTAATAACATCTCGCTTTAACGTCATACATGTAGTATGCTGCGACAGAGTTAGAGCATGATATCGCGCGAAAACGAAACACAGTATTTTCTTTGTAAAAGACCACGCGCCATTCTCTTAAACTTCATTATTTATAGATCACCATTTCTTACAGACTCATGATATCATTTAGTTATTTTTATTTTTGCTATAAAACTTCACTCATGCTACGTTAATATTGCTGGTACGTTGTAACCATTGCTTATTGCTATGTAGCCATGATTAAACATTACTCGAATAAAAACTATGATGTATAAATCATTATTAGACAAATGCATCAAATGAACATTAATATAATTATTAAGTTACCCGTTAATTGCTTTTTATTTATTTTTATTTATTATTCAGGAAGTCAGCTCTTTCCCACAGGAGGCCGGCCATCCCCTTGTCTAACACATTAAGTCCTTCAACGAGACGAATACGGAATCTGAAGTTAAAATGTGTGAATTCGTGAAGCTTCACAAAGTATTCCTACCTTCGTTATCAATGCAACAATCTAGGTATCTGAATTCCTCTTTTGGTGTTAATATATCGATTGACACTTGCAGATTGCTTAATTGTAGGATCCGTACAGAAATTGAGGTATCCGAATGTATACTTTGGGCATACATACCGCAGTCTCTACCTCCAGTTTCCCGTATTTGATATTAAAGCAGTGGTTTGAGTATCCGTATGCCTACATTAAGACTCGGTAAAAAATGACAAAAAGGTCATCAGTGACAAAATAATATCATATTCTAGCAGTAATTTCGAAGGGGGAAATTGCATAGACGGCCCTTCAGTTTATATAACTATTTACATGGTTATGGACTTTCTCACACGTCTAATATAGTTTTGTTAATTATCGATAGTCTACAGGTATTCTCGAATCTATAGGTATGGAATTAAGTATCAGTCGTCAATCAAAGAAAACCTGGTAGCCAGTCAAAATAAATAGTGTTCGATTAATATTAGGGCTTGTTGCTACTGGCTTCTCGTGAGCCTAAAGCAAAGACAAAATCGCCACATAGTTCTATCCCTCTTTGGCATTTGTCATACGTCATTTGTAATCACTTAATACGTTCGGACTTTAATAAGTGGGTGACCTAGATTTTAATGCCACACTTTTTAAATGGACTTTCATATTAAGACATATTATAATTAAGATGTGATTGCTTTTTTTAAATGAAATGGCAGATAAGTAAATAAAAATCTACAAACAACGACAACGTCAGCAAAATGTCTAAGTAAGTTATGGGAAACGTACGATACCTTTAACAAATAAGGGTCAATAGCCTTTTAAAAAGAATATCATTTAAACCTGACTAGAATTGGGCTGATCCAAAACTTCCGAAGATTTTTTCTGACTGAATATTGGTGATATTTGTGTTTCAGTTACCACATAGTTTGGGGCTATGTGGTTTCATGTTTCTTTAATCTCACACTTATGTCTAAATGTTTTCCTTTCTCCTCTCATTTTGAATTTACCCCCGAATATAACCGGCAGTAAATTTCAAAGTTATGATTAGTGATAAATACAGTGTACAACAAGATTGTAGCCATTAACACTAAAACTAGATGACGTCATAAAGAATGGCCATGTCCGTATGAAAAAAGGATTTAAATCGCGGTTGACAATTTCTCATTTCTTATCCAATATTTGTGTTCGTCTAACAGCGTATTTATTTTACACGATCTTCATTAAAAACCTCTTTGATGACATATTTACTTGACCATTTTGTTGAGCACTGTATAGACTTGATAATGCCGAACATTATCGTAAACCACTCAAAAATACAATACAGTCAACTAAAACATGACATGAATGAATAAGACAAGCATTTGTTTGTGATGTACAGCATACATTCCTACGTAGGCAGGAAGTGAGGTGTAGAATTCAGCTGACATTGAACGACTATTGTGAATTTTTAATGCACATTTTAAAGCTAGTGTTAAATATGTCAAAACAGTCAGTCACTTTATAATGGATTGTATTGACATGTGACCCTGGTAAAATACAAGCTGCTTAATATTGGCTCAGCTAGGGAGAATTTCTCTTTAGCTCATTCGGTAGAGCGTAAGACTAGTAAATTATAGGTTCCGGGTTCGCCTCCTAGCGAAGGCTTTTTACCTCTGTTAGCTCCCACGTAGGAACCCCGGAAATATTGACAAATATCCTTGACGACACTTTCAAGAGAATTGCTTTGCCCATCGAAAAACAGGGGACGATTTCTTCTCTCCTGGAGGGGGAGTATGTTACCCTTGTAAAATACTAACGGCTCCTACCGACCCGGCTAGAGGGAATTTCTCTTTTGAGGTCCCGGGTTCGACTCCTACCTCTGTTACAAATAGTGCTGTGCTAATGTTTGTTGATCGATTATCAAAGATAACGAGAATACTTATATGATATATATTCACTTATATTTTAGCAATCGGTTTAATTTTTAAATACAACAGCAACAACATTTTTGTACAAAAATCGCATTTGTTTTATATATATGAGATTGTATTTGATGTGATATTTAGTAAACGAGTAAAATCAACTTTTCATTTTAGGCAGCCTTTGGCGAGCTGAAACGACAAACCTGCTAGGAACGTGAATTTAACGTCCTCTTTATTATATAATCAATATTATCTGCGAAATTGGAAAACGCAAGCTTTTCAGACCATTTTTTATATCTGAAATGTTTGTGACGTCATGCTGTAATCTGGAAATCTTATCGTCATCTGGTGACTCATCATAGGGCTTGTTTCATTTATCAATTCACTGAATCACACAGAAATCATGTGTAAAATGCTTGTACCGTTTACATTTATATTGGAAAAAGCAAACGGATTTAGATTGAATTCATAACTTAAGATGTTTAACCTTACACATTAATCAATTCGCTGAGTACTTTGGACTGTTTGTACAGTTTTGTACATATAACAAATACTGACCATAAATTTCAAGTATTGGTAGCAGTGTACAGTAGCGTACGGTGGCCGTGGGTGATATTTTTGTACATTGAATAACCCCTGTAATATTACATGTTTCAAAACTTAAAAAAAAAAAATCAGCACTAAATTGGCATATGCATGATGAAGGGGACTATGTGGGCTTCATATTTTAAAAAAAAAATGAATTTGGTTTGAGACTAGATTTTTGGCCATTTACAAATCTGTGTCTTCACAAAAAAAGCTAGCTTTTCATGTAGTCTATTTTTGTACTCAGCACATGTGTAAATATTGTGAAAAATCCACCGGTATGACCTATGCTAAAACGTGAGTATTTCTGTTACCGAGTAGGTGATATTTAATTTAGGACAGGTTTTAAGGAAACAAAATACTACTTGCGTGGGTCAAATTTTGGGTTAAAAATCATGATTCTTTTGCTTTTTTTGGCCTTTTTTGATGTGGTAACCATGGTTTTCACTAGTCCTAATTCTGGGGAAATCACTTTTTGAAAAACAACGTATTCAAAATTTAGGTTATGAATATATATATATATATGTAGGTGTGTTGTGCAGGATGAATCCGCTTTCCATGTTTATCCGAGACATGCCCTTTATTTTTAGGATCAAGCCATTTCTACTGTACTCTGCTACCATTGATTATTGATTTTTATTGCCATTCTACATCAGTAATACAATCAAACGATATCATTAGCTCCAGAAAGAAACCATACTGAAATCAACGCTTCATATCTTAACAATGAAAACGCTCTTTAAAATATGCTATTGTCTCCGATGCCAAATTAAATGGTACAATCGAAATAACATCGTATTCATATTGATTTATTATTTTTTGAACACATTTGATGATATACCCTACTCAGATACCCTATTCAGACACTCTCTACTTAAACAGTTATTAAGTAATTGTAGGTCAAACACATACTCACTACTACAAGTGAAAACAAGGAAGCAAATCTATGTTGGTACGTTTCGGACATGTACAATACTTGTTACTTCATTAATCATATCATGCGCTCAACATATTATGCCGATCGCTCGACTTACTATTGCGAGTGCTCGACATAACTTCTCACGCGCTCGACACAACATTTCTGCTATCACGATTGCATAAAAATACCATTATGAAACGATTAATTCGTAAAGTCTTAGTCCAGCGTTTGAGATAATAAGTAGAGTGCTCGAGATAATAAATGTAGGAAATAATATTTTGTTTATGTCCTAAATTAACCACCGTACAAAATTGATCGTTTGGAAGATTTTAGCCAGGTTTGATTGTGTCATTGAAAAATCCGTACTGTTGCATTCGTATTTCTTTAATGAAAGGTATTTCTCTTTTCTTCATGTTTGCACAGTCTTCCTTAGTAATTTCAAAAACATCACTCCAGCTTGAAGCAGGGACAAGGTATGTAGCGTTAGACGTCAAATTCCCTTCGCAGAAAATCTCCATATCCTTGCGTATAACTCTGTAATACAGCAGTTCATCGTAGAATGTTTGACCTTGCTCCTGAATTTGGACCTGTATTCGTCGGAAAAAGAATCTGTAAAGAGCATAATCAAGCTCGCCCCATTTTTTGTATAAATGTACATCTCCTGGCTTGAAAGTTATCCTTTCGAACACTTTACCTTTAGAATTGAGTTTTACGTATAAGATATCCTTCATTCCCCAGTTGAGAAATCTACGCATTAGAACCAAGGACTCGTCGAACATTTCCACAATAAGTACCAGTTGGAATTCGCTATTCAGCTTGTGTAGATATTGTTCTATACCATTTGCGTCTCGAGTTTCGAAAAGGTCTGCTGGAAAATCAAACTCAAAAGCCATCCAGTTGTTGATGAAACCCATAGTGGTTCGTTTTAGGTAATTGGTTGGATCCTCGAGGAACGCAGAAACAGGGTCCGAAGTGTTTATCTTGAAAACTTCAACTGGTCGCATATAATTTAATGTCGATATGAAGTGGTCAAACGGATCACGTACAATACCGATATTAACTGTATCAGGGGGCATGATCCGCGCAAAGGCAGCTTTGTTGTATTTGACATGGCAGCACAGGATTTCATAAAACCTATCCCCAGGGACAGGGAGGATATTTTGTTCCGTCACTGATTCCGTAATACTGATTACATTTGGATAAAAGAATTTCGGAACTAACGGCAATACCACTAGCAGGTCTCGCTTTTTGGCAAACCGTAGAAAAATGTTTTGGGCTGTTGAACTTGCAGCCTTGTGAACTTTGAGAAAAGCTATATGTCGACGTTCTTTTGTAGTTGGCAGTGATTGTCGATGAACTGAATAAAATGACGTGCTCGAATGATCTGGTCCATGAGTATCATGCCATTGGGTTAATTGATATGATAGGTGTTTTGTATTGTTGTAGAAAACGGTCAATACCTTGCTAGCTGCTCTTTGGTATGTCAAGGAACTCTTCGCCGTGAGGTGCATGTAAGACGTCAGGGAAAGGACGCAGAGGGTGACTGCAAACAACCCAGTAATAGCATTGAGTCTGTTAAAACGACAAAACAGGTCATTCATAAACAGGAAACTGATATGAAGATAAATACAGATGATACAAATGACAGTAGTAGTAAACCCTATTATTGCACAATAGTACAATTACTGATTACCAGATCACACGCACCACACACTCATATTCCATTACCCTGCATAGACTTTGAATACGCAGTTCATAAACTCTATTACAGGAATCCTGATAATAATTCAGGAGAAGTTGTACATATGTCCTTTGAAATAAATTATAACAGTTCCAAATGTGCCAAGTAGATATCTTAAAAAAGGTTAACGACACAATATGTCTTCACTCTACCACGTTCATCAAAATCATAGACAGCTATCTAGCCAAGTATAATAGACTAGTTACATCACAGCTCCCCTGCGGCTGCACATGTGTATAGTGGGTTTCGCGAGTTACCTCCCATTACCGGAGTCCCATTAATCTTACCGTATCGGAAGAAGGTGTGAAGTATTAAATATTATCCCAAACACGTTAACATTACCAAAAAAAACGCGTCCCGAAAATACCACACACAAATACACCGACCTATGACCAAAACCTACAACACCTACTTTAATGTCGATGGCCTATCTCGGAACCACCTCCTCTTGCAAACTCACAACGCAACTCACTGACAAAAATATTTTGTACGCTCCTTTCGCGCGGTAACACCTATAGTCTATTCCACACCTTCTATATGTCCAACATAAAAGTTATAGTCTGTTTCAACTTCCTATACCGTCATATAATAAAACTAGTATAGACCGTTTCATAAATTGTTACCATGGTATAGCCCGTTTCATAACATATATCATGCATAAGCAATATGTTACTAATATGTATATGCATTCATGTTGTTTTAACGAAGGTCTTCGGAATATTACATTGATTTCAATGCTGGCATATCAAATTATCATATGCCAATTGTCTCTTTTGGCAAAAGATGTGGCAGCTGTTTTGTTGTAGAGTGGTTAAATGTAATAATGATATTAAGGATAGAGGTGTAAGGCTAAGAATTGTACAATGCTGACCCTAATTGCGCAGTGTTCTTGTGGTTTATATGATACCCTAATGTAATTGTCTTCCATTCAAACAGTCCGTGAGTTAAAACACTAATCCTTACCAAGCGGAAACGTGCATAGAATCAGTCTTTGAAGTATCATATATGAAAAACTACTACTCTAAATTTTAAAACATATGAAGTATGTCAGGAAATAGGAGTATAACATTTTATTACGTTTGATATTAACCAACCTGTGAATCTGTAAGTGTGCTCTTTTAGAACTATTATTATACAATACATGCAGAAAATTGAATACTGCATTATTTGGATCATTTTATTCTGATTTTTACTTTCCAAAACCCCCTGACAATAAGTATTCCTGCATGGCGTTAAAAATATAGCTGAGGGAGATCACAGTATTTGGTAATGAATTTTGGTGTGTACTTATATGCCACAATATTCTTTGACCTAAATGACAGTGTATAGGTATACGTACTTTTACATTACGATTGTTCCGTTTTGTTTTGCATTAACGTGTATGAATACTGATAAACCTGGTGTTACATTTGCATTTTTGAATTTGTTTCTATACTGTTCTAATTTCTACGAGGAAAACAGAGAAACCGGTTATTTGCTTTTGAAAGCAGGTTACACGTACAATTATATTTTGTATCATATTTGTATTTTATTCAAATACACTTTTTTCCTCAAAATATAAAAGTTGTAATACATTTTGACTTACCTTAATAGTTTCATTGCCCAACGGTCTAGGTGTCACTTGTACTTAACTTCACATATATGGAGAGTAATTCGTTTATTCGTTGTTCTTCCGATAGCGTATCCAATAATTGTATATCTATCTTTACGTCAGCTTCAACATGGTTTTCAATAGAAAAATCGATTTTAGTACCATGTGTTACGCCTTCTTATTTGAATGGCATATCAGTTAGTTATAGCCGATTAAATGATAAGGGGCTGGTCGGGGGAAAAATGTCATATTTGCTAAAATGGCATACACATGTTTAAAATACCTTCTTATGAAATATACCGATACAAATTTTGCTGAAATTCACTCGCTAAGAATAAAAATTATAATTATATTAAAGAAATCCTAAATCGTCACCTGACAGTCTAAAACTCTCAATTGACCCAGATCAGTGATGTAATTTTACCGCACGCGCGACATCAACAAGGCCAAATGTAAACATCGCGGCGAAAGAAAAAGATGCATGCAGAAGTCATGACAGGCACGAGGTATCAATACCGTTACAAATAACAACAACATATAGGTAGGAATACTACACTTGCATCATACATGACCTTTGAAAACAATTATTTACGTATAGTATTGCTGTCTTGTCCGCTAGTTGAGTCCGACATGGTACATGACGGCGTGCTATTGTTGTTATCTTCGAAACAACCACGTGACATATATAAATAGATATGCGCTAAATTTACGCAGGGCTTCCCCGATATTTCAGTGGTCAAAACTGGACATTGCAAGCAAAACTCGATCATCATATTGCCGTGGTATAACTTTTGGAAGGCCAGAGAACGCATTTAGACCCATTTATTTTGCAATTTCCCCCCCGACCAGTCCCTTTAACCGGTATATATTTCTTCTGATGATAGAGAAACGATTCATATCCGACCTTCTCTAATGTGTTTTCAGCCAAATCTACAGAAACGGAGATATTTAAATCATAGGACAAGGATATTTGTTTTTGACACTATTGTGCGTGCAAACAAAACGTATTGATCATTATTGTCTGTGAAAGCTGTTGTGTATAACCTATTGTTTTACATATACACGCATCTTTTCCAACTAATCAATACGAAAGGTAACAGACGGATTCGACCAGGTTTAACCATGGAAAGCTATGGGTGACACTGTCTTGGTCAGCCAAGCAGAGTAAGGAATGAATAAACAATTGAGACAAGCAGTTTACGACCTAGAGGCTAATTTTGTGCATTCCTGTGACAACACAATGGCTAATGGAAAACTGCGCTTGGAACAGCTAATTTAGTGACGCGTTTGGCTGTCTATCATAGTGTAAACTCGTATATAAGGAGCACTTGCTTGTTTTTTATTTGGCTAAATTCTAAAACGATTTACCTACTTAACAATTTGGGATTATTCCTAGTTTACAACATTCTTCATTTGCTTTTTTCATGTATAGTTACCAAGATGATAAAGTTGTTCAATGTTTGTATAGTGAGATAGACAATACATTATGTCAATGAGACATATAGTTACCAAGATGATAGAGTATGTCAATGTTTGTGTATCTAGTCAGGTAATGCAGTACATGAAAGGAATGTCTAGAAAGTTAGGTGATACATTATGTCGACTGAGTATGTCAATGAGTACATGAAAGAAATGTCTAGAAGGTTAGGTGATACATTATGTCGACAGAGTATGTCAATGAGTACATGTACATGAAAGGGATGTCTAAAAATTTAGGTGATACATTATTTCCATTGGATATATATTTACTAAGATGATAGAGTATGTCAATGTTTGTATATTTAGTCAGGTAATGCAGTACATGAAAGGAATGTCTAGAATGCTAGGTGATGCATTGTGTCAATGAGATGTATAGTTACTAAGGAACATGAAAGGAATGTCTAGAATGTTAGGTGATGCATTGTGTCAATGAGATGTATAGTTACTAAGGTGATAGAGTATGTCAGTGTTAATATAGTGAGATAGGTGATGCAGTATGTGAAAGGAGACTCTAGTAAGTTAGTTTCACAGCATGTAAATGAGGCATTTAATCAACTGATACGTCAATGTGGTTTACAGCGAGTTGATACAGAATGTCAATGAGGTGTATATATTGTAGGTAGTCAGGTGTATTGTTAAGTGATACCGTATGTCAATGTTCGTATAGTTGTGATGTACAGTCTATTGTTTTTTTGCCATAGAATATTAAATGCCATCAATTTGATAATACTTGTACTTTTTTTTATACTATTACAGATGCCAAAATAAATAACTGTCACAGAATGAATATATTTTTATATCGGCCAATCAAAACGGGTTTTTCTATTCACTGCATCCACAGCCGCAGGTTTTCAGTTCAGCTGCTGATGAAGCGACGATAGAATAAGTGGTTGTTTTAAGTTGTACAACTTTGCTACAAACATTAAGACATTTACATATCAAATCTTACCAGATAATACCCAATCTGTTTTTCTCGTATTGCATATTTCACTGTATATAAATAGTTTCACTCGTACTTAAAAATCGAGAGAAAATCGGTATTTAGCAATACTCCTGAAATAAAATGTATGCATTGTATTCATTGGGAAACCATTAAAATTTGTTAACAAGTGCAAGTTTACATGTAGGATTAATCAATATTATTTAGGTTGAATTATGGTGTTTTTTTTAAACCTGTTGCAACGTACATTTGTGTTAACGGTATATATTGGACTGATACTTACTTACCTTTATTCGAATATTTCCAGAGTTCTTATTTGTTGTTAAGCCTATATTAACGCAATATATTTGAATAAGATCGTGTGCTTATATATATGTTTAAATGCATAATAGAAGGAATTAACAATTCTGTTTAAACATATCGAGCCATTCTGAGAACTCGTCATAAATGAGATGTTTAATGAGAAAAACACGTGGCCAGACTCTCCCTCCCTAATCAGTATAAATCCAATTATTGAGAGTAACCAAATATATGTAATTATACCTATTATGATTATAATAATAATATATGTATGTTTGATAAGGAGTATAACATAAATATTATTCAGACAATGTCTTATTTGCGGCGTCGATACGTTCATGACGCATACCAATTGTTCTTGTGGCTATGGGATAATTTAAAAGTATGAAAGCAATTTGTGATAGTGCTTCTAAAACGATAAAAAAGCTCATTGACATATATGAAATATAGCAAAGGTGTTTCGGCGGAGACGACTAATACGAAACTATTGTTGTGTGCTTCGTATTAAGTAAGGATCTTTACCCCTTGCTAAACTATACCAATAAAACCATACAGACATGCAGTGATTATCGATTTGTTTTAATATACGTGAAGGGGTAACGTTTATGCGAAATGCCTTGTTGCTTGCCCTCATGATTGTGAATAAGGCAGTACCTAAATAAAACAACGAATGTCGTGGCAACCAGATATTTCATAACTTGTAAATAGTTTATTAACTGTATAAAATATGAAGATTTGTAAAAAGAAAACACTATCCAATTGCATAATCGTGACGATCAATATGCTAATCTGGAATCTCGTTTAAACTCGATTCATTTACGATGATATTAAAAGTACTCAATGGAAAATAAAGATCGTGTGTTTTCTTCTGTATGCATCACAGTGATTCACGAGGTCTTTCTTTGTATAACGTTATCTAAAAGAAGTGATATAATTATCAACTGCTTAAATAGTTTCATTGTCAAATCTGTACTGTTGCCTTCGTATTTCCCTGATAAACCGTATTTCTCCTTTCTGCATGTAAGCACAGTCTTCCTTACTAATTTCAAAAACATCACTCCAGCGTGAAGCAGGAACTTGGTATGTAACATTTGACATCGAATTCCTTTTGCAGAAAATCTCCATATCCTGGCGTACACCTCTGTAATGTAGCAGTTCATCGTAGAATGTTGGACCTTGCGCCTGAATTTGGACCTGCAGTCATCGGAAAAAGAATCTGTAAAGAGCATAATCAAGCTCGGCCCAATTTTTATATAATTGTACATCTCCTGGCTTGAAAGTTATTCTATCAGACAGTTTTTTTCTTGCATTGAGTTTTACATAAAAAATATCCTTCATTCTCCGCATTAGAACTAAGGACTTGTCAAACATTTCCACTATAACAATCAGCTGAAATTCGTTATCCAACTTAAGTAAATACTTTTCTACACCATATTTGTCTCGAGTTTCAAAAAGGTCTGCTGGAAAATCGAATTCAAAAGCCATCCTGTTATTAATTAAACTGATACTGGTTCGTTTTTTTATACTTTGTTGGATCTCTGAGAAATGCATATGCAGGATCGGAACTGTTGATGTTTAATACTTCCTTCGGTCGCATGTAATTCACGGTAGATATAAAGTGTTCAAACGGATCACGTACAATACCGATATTAACTGTATCAGGGGGCATGATCCGCGCAAAGGCAGCTTTGTTGTATTTGACATGGTAGCACAGGAATTCATAAAACTTACCTTTAGGTACAGGAAGAATGTTTCTTTCCGTAACTGTTCCCGTTAAACTTATAACATTCGAATAAAAGAATTTCGGAACTAACGGCATTACAACTAGAAGGTCTCGCTTTTTGGCAAACCGTAGAAAGATGTTTTGTGCTGTTGATGATTTCTCATTTCATTTTTGTTTTGTTTTATTAGATCAATTGATTCAATGGGAATTGGGCAACAGGCTATGCCTATACAAGCCCTCTCCCTTGGGTTACATAGATTTCAAACAACAACATAATTATAATTTAGACATTAACATATTAGCACTGGCTTGGAACATTAAATATTACTTAATACTTAATAGTCTCTATCTATCTTTGAACTAAGCAAAATTTAAAAAATTAAAATTAGAATTACTAAGATAAAACAAATATATTTGGGGTTTTTTGTTATTTTTTCTTCACATAGTAACCAGTATATATAAAATATATTTCAAAATGAAAAGCCATGTGTGTATACTCATTTGTAATTAATCAAATTTTATAAATTTTACAACATATATTAATATCAAAAACTGGAACCTTCATCCAATACAGTAAATATTAAATATTATTTGTAACACCAACAAGTCATCCATCACCACTCCTACTCCAGATAACAATAA